GTGGTAAAGTAAATAACTAACGAAGGTACCCGACCGGAACGGTAGGTCGTTGTCGTGTGGTCGTGGTCGGATTGACCTACCCACCTATATACACACACACACACACACACACACACACACACACACAAACTCGCACGGGCACACAGGAAGGGGGCTGTTTCCAGGGAGAACTGGCCTCTGAGGGGATTGTACAGGCAGGTCCAATCCAGTTCCAGGCAGCTGGTGCTCCAGGGCACGGGGCTGAGATAAAGCGCCCGCAGCCCCATGGGCCTCGCTCTCGCTCTCACTGTCGCGGGCTGCCTCAGACACAGGGACACCAGGCTGCAGCGGATAGCACTGTGGGGTGGGGGAGGCCAGCACTGGCCTCTCTGCTCACCTGCCACAGCACTGACTCCCCCAAAACCTCACAGTCCCCTAAAGGCGACCTGGGGGGGGTCACCATGCTGCTCCCTGTCCTCCTCTTTAGGATGGCATGGGCACTAACTAATGGGTAAGCAGCCCACCCTGGGGCCCCTCCCACTGAGCTCCTTCTCCTGCCCCAGGACCAGGACCACCCTCTGAGGCAGCCAGACTCCCCTATCCCCCTTCTCTCTTCCAATCTCAGCCTCCTCTTCAGTTAATTAACTCTTTGCTGGGAGTGGGGTCACAGGATAGGGCCTCTCAGATGGAGGGGACGGTGGCCTTAGCTGTTAGTCCCCATCTGTGGCAGGCGGTGGTGCGAACGGACAGAGACCATCCTGGGGGAGGAGGAAGTGTCCCCCCGTCAGGAGGACCTGGTGCCGTGCACCAATCTCTACCATTATCAGCGCCGGGGCTGGCAGCTGGACCTGACCTGGAGTGGCCGTGCGGGGCTCTGTCCCATCTACAAGTGAGTGAGGTCGGAGCCTTGACTGGCTACTGAGCAGGAGAGAGCAGCGGGGTGACCTCCTAAGAGTGAGGGAGGACTGAGTGGTGACCTGGAGAAGCGGGCATTTGGGAAGCAGGTCCTAGGTGAGCTCAAGAAGGGCAGAGGGTGGGGGTAGGGGTGATCGATGAGTGGGCACTTCGGTGGGCAGCACAGGGAAAGTCACAATGCTCTACACTTCAGTCTGCCACCCCAATATCACTCTCGCTTTGCACATGGGGAAATTAAGACCAAGAAGGGAAAATTGCACGATAAAGCCACTCAGAGAGTAGGTGACCAGATTGAATGTTCCAGGCCATTCCCAGGGGTAGGGCTGAACACTAACATCTTCTCCTTTCCCCCTGCTCGGTGGACCCAGGCCCCCAGAAACCCGGCCTGCTGCCTGGAACCGGACGGTGAGGGCATGCTGCCCAGGCTGGGGGGGCCCCCACTGCACCCTGGGTAAGCACCTGGGATTAGCCCAGATCCAGGGTTTCCTGGAGGTGGCAGGCTGCCCGGGGAGGGAAGCTGCTGGGTCCAGGCTGACTGTCCAGGTCTGCCCCATTCTCTCTCTCCCCAACACAGCCCTTGCAGAAGCCAGCCCTGAGGGCCACTGCTTTGCCACATGGCTGTGTCAACCACGGGCAGGCTCAGCTAATGCTTCTGCTGCAAGCCTGAAGGAGTGCTGTGCTCAGCCTTGGGGACACAGCTGGCGGGATGGCCACTCCCAGGCCTGCCACAGCTGCTCCAGCCACCAACTCCCAGGTGGGTCCACAGACCCAGCCTGAGGGACAGGTGCAGCTCCGGCCATCACCTGTTACCCGCACAGGTGCTCCCACTTAGAATTGTTGAGCTCTGGGCCTCTCTGTGGGGCCCATGCCCACTCCCCTCTCCTCTCAGGTGAGTCCCCTCCACCCCCCCCCACCAGACTGGCCGTGCACTCTCTGCTAGCCTGGCATCCTCACCCTCCACCCTCCTTCCCACATTCAGAAGCTCATGGTTGGTGTTTCCCCCAGGAAACACACCCTCTCCAGCCCTCCTGCAGCCCCTGGCAGGGGCCGTGGCCCAGCTCTTGAGCCAGCGCCAGCGTCTCTCGGCCACCTGCTCCACCTGGTCTGGCTTCCACTATCGCACCTTTGACGGACGCCACTACCACTTCCTGGGCCGCTGCACCTACCTGCTGGCTGGCGCAGCTGATTCCACCTGGGCTGTCTACCTAGAGCCCAGGGGGCATTGCCCCCCGGATGGGCACTGTCAGTTGGTGAGGAGGGAGATGGGGACAGACCCAGGGAGGGAGCTGGACGCAGGAGGAGGAGAGCCGCTGATCACTCTGTGTCTCCCCCAAGGCCCGGGTGGTGATGGGACCAGAGGAGGTGCTGATCCAGGGTGGAAATGTCTCTGTGAATGGGCAGCTGGTACCTGAGGGCGAGTCTTGGCTGCTCCCCGGTAAGGGAACTGTGGGCAGCAGGAGATGGCCCAGGGCCCCATTTGCTCCTCTGGGAAAGTCCGCCTGCCCCCGGGGGGGGGGGCAGAGGGCAGCAGAAGTTGGCGCAGTTGAGTGGAAGCCTGCAGCCTCCCCTACCCCTACTGCTGTTGGGAGGCAGCATTTGGAAATGAGGGAGTCCACTGAGGCACCAGGAGGTCATGAACCTTATCCTCCACCCCTGTAACCCACCCCCACTAACCTCCTCACAGTGTGACTTGGGGCAAGTCCCTCTGGTCAAACTCTCTGAGCCTCAGTTTCCCCACCTGCCTGCCTCCTGGAGTGCTGGGAGGAAAGTCTTTTGTGCTACTAGACAGGACACTCATATCAGAATTTTGTCTTGCTTGGGGTCCTTGGAGTGAGGGGTCGGGTTTCATGGGCACATGCATGTGCACGCATGCGTGCGCGTGGTGCACTGTGTTTTATGGTTTACCCTCAAGAGAGCGTCCAAAGCATTCACGAACTTCTCAAAGAGGTTCTGTGATGGGAAACCAATCACTTTAAAGGGTATAAAGTGCAGAGCTCTCTAGAATAGTGAAAAGTCCTTTCCTTCTTTCCTCAGGCAGTCTAAACTCTGGTGTGACAATGGGAAGGGAGGGGAG